GTGTAAGGGTCTCTGACTAGTCTGTGTGTGTTTGGTGTTTTCACAGGCAGTTCAAGCCCAAGAGGACTGAGATCGTCATTGACTTTAGTTCCATTAACTTCTCTGGAGCGCTGAACGGTGCAACCAAGTGAAAATGCAAATGACTCACCTCGGGGAGCTGTTGGATGAGGCAGTGAGTCAAAGGGACTTTGATGCCTCTCTTTGTGTTTGTCTTCTCGCCTCCTGCTTCGTCCAAAGGAAAACTCAAGGATAACCTGACTTTGGCATCTTAGATATTTTGATTTGCTGCTTTAACGTTTTTCTTTTAAAACTTCCTCTGGGTCGAGGAATTCATGAGGCTTATGAACAAACTGTAGTGTTTTCTGTTGTGTTTGGGTTTCCTATGGCGAGGTGTCAGAAATCTGTTTCTGTCGAGCTTCCAGGCTCCTCCTCCATGAAGATCACTTAACCTTTGTTCACATCCACAGATGAGACTGGGAGATGCTGTCGTTACAGTTGGCACTCAGTATTTTATGACTACTTTCCTCCTCTCGACTGATGCCACCTCTACAATACTTTAATATTGTTAACACGAATTAGCTTCATGCAGCTGAGCCTCGTCACTCGTTATAGCCAAATGCTAGTTTTAATTAAGCAAACGAGCTGTGAAAGGCTGATTGTGTATTTTTGTGAACATGATTACTGCAGATCCAGGTGACGTAGGTGCAGCGACTAAAGGTCTCGGATGAGGTCGAATCCTGGTGACCTCAACATCTGACCTCAAAGTCGGTGTCAGAGGTCAAGTTTTAAGTCTCGGTGATAAGTCAGGACGATTTCCCCGAGTATTTAGTGTAGCTGCATCTACTAGATCAAACCTGTTTACCAAAAGTAATGTCTGTAAATTTGACCCCATCTCTGAGTTTTTACTAAGTGTTCTGCTCTTTGATGAAGAATGTCTTCACTACAGCTGGAGTCAAGTGTCAGAAACAAGAGAGCACACAGTTGTTGTGCCACAGTAAATCTTTCATTCATTAAACGTGAAAACGAATCATTTGTTTATTTTGTGTCGTGTACCACTGAGGCCTCACAGGAAACACGGCTCACAGCCATGTCGACTGTCACTGCAGCTGAAACAAACTGGGACACATTAATACTGCCCATGTTACACAGTATATTATTTATGTTATTATTATTCTTAATTAGTGGGGGGTTCTTACCACTGTTTTTTCCTGCTATGGTGATGTAACCATCAGAGGTGGGCGGGAACGCCACAGCAGGAACAGTGGTAAGAAAAAAACACCCTGTACATGCTAATAATTAATCATCCAGCGAGTTAATAAACAATAATCAGATGGTGGATAAACAAATGCGCTCATGAAGGCAACAGTGGTCATCTGAACTGTCCAAACTGGGCCAGTGGATCCACTAGAGCCCAGGAACAACATCCCTGATCTACCCAGAAGAGTGCAGGGGTAGGACAGCAGACCCTGGAGCTCCCAGGCCTCGGGTAGAGGCTCGGAGGA